CGCCTCGTCCCCGCCCCATCATGCCAGTCAGGCTACTGAGGCCGCCTCTGCGCCAGCCTCGCCTGAGCGCCGCCTGGGGCCGGCACCGACCCGCCTGAAGCCCCGGCCACCACGCAAAGCCGACCCACGAGGAAAGTGGTCGGCCCCCCTCGGCCCAAACAAGTCTGAGCCCCTGTAAAACTTCTCCCGGGGACCTGACATCTCACTCCAGAATAAAATCCGTCCTACACTGGTCAGCCTCAGATACATGCCGAGCCCCCCATCCTAGGTCTCCCCCCTGCCCCACCCCAGTTCCATCCTGCCGGCGCCCACCTGCAGGAGGCCGAAGAAGCGGGCAGAGCCTGGTCAGCAGCGAGTGAGCCAGGCAGCACCGGGCTGGGTTATAAGCAGCTCCTGCCCTCCCCCAACCAATGTTCCCAACCTTCTCCAGTGACCCCTGCTCTTTTCTCCCCACAGATCCCCTGGCAGGGACCTATATTTAGGGAAACCTGAAGCTCCTGACATTCAGGCCAGCCTGGGGCCTAAAGTGAGGAAAGGGGGGCAGTGAGCTGTAGGCCTGTCCTATTTTGAGGGTGTAGGAATGGCCCCTGCCCACTTACCGGTACTTCAGAGGAAATTTCTTCCTTGGAAATCCAGACTGGTGCCCTCAAAAAATAAAAAAATCTGGACAGAGATCTGTGGAGCAAGAAGGCAAAAGGGGACTCAGATCATGTGGCCCTCCCTGCCTCCTCTGATCCCCCTCCCATGACTGGGCTCTGATGGGAGCTGCTAGGATTCTCTGGAGCCCATTTCTTTAGAGAGAGAGCAGATGCAGGTGCTACACTCACACCTCAAAATAACCAAGAGCCCACGGCCTGGGTATGCTAGGGTACCCTATATCCTGATCCTTAAGGTCCAAGTTCCTCACATAATGCTGTCTGTGGGTAGCAGTGTCCCCACCCTCCCCTTCAACGTGAGTTTGCTTGGGGAGGGGAAGAGGGCAGGTGCACCTGCCAGAGCACTAGCCCCTCTTTCTTTTGGCCCTATGAAGGGGCTGCAGTCTAGCCGGCCAATGGTTCTCTGAGTCTTGCTCTGCTGAGAGCCAAGTTCTCCACTGCTGGTTCCCAGGCCAGTGAGCCAGGCAGCCCATTTGTGGTTCCAGTGGCCTGAGGCTCCTCAGGGAAGAGGGTATGTGAGCCCCGGGGGCTGGCCACTCCCCAAAGGGCAGGGACTCTGGGTCCTCATCGGAGCTTGATCTCAAAGCAGAGGCAGTTGAGGCTCTGGCAGTCAGGAAGTTGGCACGCACAGGCACAGTCGCAGAGTGGGCAGCAACGAGGGCATCGAGGGGCCCAACCCTAGGGGAGAGGAGAAAGGAGTGAGGGAGGTAGGCAGAGGAACGGGGACCAGAGCCTGAAGCTGTTCCCCTCTCGGGAGAAGGAAACAGCGAGGCCTGGGAAGTCCATTTGCCCAGTGGAACAGAGAGTACCATCCACTATTCCTGGGGACAAACAAATCCCTGTGCCGTTGAGAAATCAGCAAGGAGGCAATGTTCCAAACAACTGAGTTCAGGAGCTGGAAGAAATTATTCAAGGGGTTCTCTCTTTCTCCCCATTTTATAGGCAAGGAGACTGAGGACCAAAGAGCTACTGGCCCTGGTCTCGCGCTAGAATTCAGGTGTCCCAGTTCAGCTCAAAGATGGTTCTATTACATTTTTGTGGCTGGTGCAATTGAGAAAGTCACACACAGGTTTTCTGTCCATGATGAAAATAACTTGTTGGTTTTGTGGATTTCTTCCCTGCCTTGAGACCAAACTGCAGAATCTCATTCACCATTTCTGAGGACCTACTCTGTGCAAGGCACAGACTATTCAGGAATTAGTTTTTTAAATCTTTCTAATTTCTTTTAAAAATGGTAATTTGTGTGCCCTGCCAGGCACGGCTCAGTGGTTGACCATCGACCTAGGATCCAGGAGATCGAAGGTTCAATTCCCGGTCAGGGCACATGCCCAGGTTGCGGGCTGGATCCCTGGTCGGGGGTGTGCAAGAGGCAGCCGATCAAGGACAACTCTCTCATCATTGATGTTCCTCTCTCTCTTTCTCTCTCTCCCCCCCCTTCCTCTCTCTGAAATCAATATATATATTTTTTTAAATGGTAATTTGCATATTTAAAAAAGTTTTAATGTCTCAAAAAGTTATATCTCTTTTAATTATCAGAACCTTGAGTAGGGTCTCTTTACCGAAGAGGAAATGGAGGCTCATAGAGGGGAATGATTGCCTAAAGCAGGGGTGGGGAACGTCCAGCCTGCACGCCATATATGCTGCAAAATCATTTGGTCTGGCCCTGCCAAGGCAACCTCAGGCAGGACTTGAAATTCAATAAATCTAGGAACCTTTTTCATAGCTAATTTTTAAGTTGATAATTTTGTATGGCCCGTGAATGATGTTATAAATATCCAAATGGCTCTTGGCAGAAAGAAGGTTCCCTATCCCTGGCCTAAAGGAATACAACTAGGGAATGCTGCTGGGACAGCCTGGCATGTCTGCTTCTAATCTTTAGATCCCGCTAGACCCCACTGCCTCCCAAGGCCAGGAATAACAGCTTCCTTCTGGGTTTGCAAAGGCAGGGACTAATCATCTCATGTCTCCATTGAGCTATCATGCTCAACTGTGTATGTTGAATGAATGCATAAACCAGAGCACATTTTCCCCTCAGTAGGCAAAGAAAGAAGAAGGCTTCTCAGTTCCCAGGGGAAACAGAAGGTCTGTCTCTTGGGGAATAGGAGCAGCATGTCCTTGGAGACAGGAAGGGAGAACAGCCTACTCCAACCCACTCCTCTCCTGTCCTGGGACAGAGATGATCTGAGACTGCTTCACGCATTAATTAGAGTCAGGCCAAGTGGCTGGATGGGACACACCCAAGATGTGTGACAGAAAATTGGCATCTTAAGTCCTAAGGCAGAGCTAGTGACAGTCACAGTTGCACAGATCAGACACTGGCCAAGCCAGGATTAGGAGAATGACCTTTTGAACAGCTGAGGTTTCGGGGTGCGGTGTCAGATGACTGGTGAGATCAGATGTCACTAGGGGCTCCAGTGAGGGGAAGGGACCTTGTGTTTCCAGATGGAGCTGAATTGGGCTGGAGCTCCTGCCAAGAGAATTGGCTCTCAAGGAAGAGGCTAGAAGTGTCATGGTGGAAGGGAAAGAGAACAAAGTGGTTTCATTGTGTTTGATGAGGGTGTGGTTTGGGGGGTCTCTGAGGGGTCCCAGTCTAGGGATGAAGTCAACTCTGTGGGATTTTGGAGGACCACACTGTCATGCTGTGCACAATACTGGTGGCTGAGAGAGGCTCCCCCGCCCTCACTTCACAGAAGAGGGTATTAAAAGTGTTTCCTGGCTCTGTCCACTGGATCCAGTCATTAATAACTGAGTAATGGATTTCTCAACTCTCACAGGCCGCCAGGCGGATTCTGGAAGGAATCTGCTGTTTAAGTACATTAAACAAGAACTCCACAAGACTGTTAACCCTTGTGTTTCCCTAGGCTCTGCAGTTTTTCCTTTGATTTCTTTTGCTTTGATTTTGTGAAGGCCAGCCATCTTTACTGGTTAGAGCTCAGGCCCAACTTTGAATCTAGTTCAGCCCCAGGTTTGGCTGATTCATGTTTTGAGCCTCCGTTTCCTCATTTCTAAACCCACTTCTTAAGGACATTGCGAGGAGTCAGTGGAAAGAACGAAGCACGATGCCTGGTGAGTAGTGAGCACTCAGTAAAGGGAGCTGTCCTTGTCACAGCAGTAGTTCTTTACCCTGGCATAGGGCAGGATCATGTGAGAACTTGTTAAAAATTCACACACTCCAATCCAATCCTAGACTTTTCTGATATCCGCTTCTGATCACAGACAGGGCTGAAAACTAACCACTGCACTGTATCACATCATTTCTCACACTATTATAGTTGCCTACTTATTTCTCTGTGTCCTTCCCTGGAATGTAAGCCCTGTGAGGGCTGGGGCCATGTCTGTCTTGTTTCCACTGAGCCCCCAGGGCCCAGCCCAGTGCCTCTACAATGACTCCATAAATTTTGGGTTAAGTGAATAATGCGTGAATTAGATACTTGGGAAGAGACACCTGGGTTTTTGTCCTGGCCCAGTCACTTAAGCCTCTGTAAGCTTCTTTCTTTAAACTTTACTTTATTGTTTTAATCCTCACCAGAGGATATTTTTGCCCCATTGCTTTTTTTCAGAGAGAGTGGAAGGGGGGAGAGAAACATCGATGTGAGAGAGACACATCGATTGGTTGCCTCCCACAGATGCCCCAACCAGGGCCAGGGGTCGAGTCTGCAGCCGAGGTATATGCCCTCGTGGGGAATCAAACGCGGGACCCTTCAGTCCACAGGACGACACTCTAACCACTGAGCCAAAATGGCCAGGGTTGTAAGCTTCACTTTCGACAGCTGTGAAGGAGGCGAGAGCTTTGTAATACTTGTGATTGTTACTGTTCCTAAGGAAACTGAAGGACAGAGACTTGAATGCACCAACCAGTCAGTCCAAGTTATGCATCAGCTTGGCGTTCTATTCTCACTCTTCCCTCCACGGTACAGTTACCACCTCAAGGGCAGGAGTTTTACTGTCTAAATCTCTGTGTCCAAAATAACTAGTGCCTAGGAAGGTGGTCGATTACACTGAACATCTTTAAACCCACAAATGCAAAAATGGCCTGTCCTCTTCGAGCCAGGCTGCGCCTTGAGGTCTCTAACACAATTTGCTATGCAAGGCTACTGTGGGATATTGGAAAAGTGGCTAAACTTCCCTAAGCCAACTTATTCCCCTGCCAAAGGAGGGTACAAATACTTACCTATCTACATGTGCAGGCATAGATACCTGGCCAAGGTGTGAGGAAAAGTTAAAAAGGGTAAGTAGCAGTTGTGATGATATAGTATATGTGATTATGACTCATTTTTATCAAATAATAGCAAAATACAGCAGTGATAGTACTGTAGATTAGTATATGAGGGTCATACACAACACATAGCAACCTTGGTTAGAGGCTGGTTTATAAAGCGCCTTGTATTTTCTATATGTTTCTACATGCACACTTTGTAATTAATGCTTTTTGTGATCAGAAAAAATATATACAGGTTTTTTTAAATACACAGCTCCCAGGGTTGTTGAGAAAATAATAATGGGACATAGTATTCATTCAATGAACAGAATGAGCTCTGTGAGAGGCTCTGTTTTTTCTTTTAACTACCATTTTCAGAAGTGACTGTATGCCCTACATGTTACACACGTCACTTTTCTCCAGCTGACGCCGTTTTCTTTTTTCTGAGCAGGTTTTATCACTAGAAATTATTTGATGTGTTGTTTATGTTGTTTTTGGCTGTTTCTACCTGACCCAGTACCTGGAATTGTGCTGAATAATAAATGTTGAAAACAAATGAATGCATAGATAATTCCTAGATCAGGGCTCAAGGAGGTAGAGGAGTGTGAGAACTCACAGCTTCGGTGGGCTGGGGGCAGCAGGCATCCAGATAGTGAGCTGGGCTAGGCAAAGGGAAGTCGCAGGCTTCTGCACAGGTCCAGCAACAGTCCTGGGGCCTGGATGCACCTTGCTCCTGACAGGGGAAGCTGCAATCGGTGCAGCAACCTTGGGCCTAGGAGATGGCAGGGCTCAGGGTCTGGGCCAGGTGGCAGGTAGGGATAGCCAAGCTATGGTTTTGGGGAAAGGGGCAGGAGAAGGTTCAGCAGGAGACGGCAGAGGAGGAACTCTCTGGTCACACAGAAGGGACAGATTGGGGGAATAAATAGCAAAGGAGCCTCAGAGTAAGGGCCTGCAGATGAGGGCCAGATTAACTGAGTTCCTCTTCCAGAGCCCACCCTTCAGCCCCCACGAGGCTCCTCACCAGCAGGCAATGCCTAGTCAGCAGCACTAGGCCTAGCAGCAACAAATAGATGCCCACAGCGATGAAGACGATGCCAGGGATGGGGAGCAGCAGGGAAGGACTGCTGACAGGAGCCGGGGTGGGATTCCAAGGGCTAGAGGAGGCCTGAATGAGCACAGGAGGAAGGGTGACAAGGAGGTAGGAGGGGCTGCAGGAACACAGACATACCAGGAGGGACACTGAGGTGGCTGGAAAACAGGAGCAGCCACCAGATGGTGCAGAGAGAGTCGAGAGGACTACAGTCTCTTGCTCCCTCCCCAAATCTGCCTTTCCCCCGTCATTCCCATTTCAGCACCATGAAGGGTTTGTT